TAATAATTTAACATAAAACTTTTAAAAAATTTACAATTAAATTATTTCATTATTATCTAATCAAAAAGTTCATTTCGTTTTAAATATATAAAACTGGCGGATGGTTATAGATTAATCGCTCCAATGATAATTATTTGTATATTAGAAAAAAAATAAGAAACATAAATATCTTCTAAAATTCCTAGATGAGAAAATTTCCTAACTATATTTCTGTGTTCCTATTCAGTTTTCATACCACTGTCGGTTTTTATTTTTTATTTTTTTTTTTCTTTTCCGTCTTTGTTATTACAAATTAATGTCATTTTATTTTTAAAAACATAATACCATTTTAATTTTTCATACAATTCTTTTTACACAAAGATTCTCAAATAAGACAAGTTCAAATATTGATCAATCGTGAATTACAATGGACAAAATAATAATGTGACTCTAAGTTACGAGTATCACATTTACAAATCTATAGTGAACTTAGAATGACCGGGGTTCAACTCATTGAAAAACACAAACTAAGATTTCGAAAACTCATCTTATAAGGTTTTCAATGACACATCTTGATTGAAACATCGACATCTTGATTCATCAAACCACAAATTGTCATTTATCTTTTGCTTCAAAATCCAATATCTTTAAAAATAGATGGCACATCTCGATTGACGAACTTTAAAAACAACTTACGTGTCATCTATCTTTTTCCTTTTACAATTTTCGATGAATCAAATATCGAAAATCAATTAATTATACCTCATTTTATTTTGCCTCATCGTGATCTTCAATAGTCCTAAGTTGATTTTAAAGTTTGTTTCGAAACTCATCGTAAATTTACTTTAATATTTTTTACGTTACGTTAGATTAAATCATATATCATTTTGTTTGTCTCTTGAAAAGCTTCAAAAGCCCTAAGTCGGATTTGTTTCAAAATTCATCGATGATTAACTTAAAAGCTTTTTGCATCAAGTTAGTGCTTCGTCTTCTCACCTTGTAGGAGTGTCGGTCTGCGCCTTGGTAGGGCTGAGCATTGGACTCAGATAATTCAAACTGTTTCGAAAATCAAACCGAAATCACACCAAACTGAAAAATAACAGTTGACTGTTTGACTTTCTTCGAACCGAACCGAACCAAAAAAATAATTGGTACGGTTCTGGAGATTTCACAAATATTCGTACCGAGAACCGAACCGAACCGAACCGAATCGAACCATCCCATACCGAACTGAACCAAAGAATCAAATTATAACATTAGATGTGTGTTATTAATATATTTTATGTCAACTTTGATTCTATATAATTTGAGAATTTTTAAAATACAAATAAAATATAATTATAACATTTAAGTTTCACTTAAATTTCATGTTTAGTAATACTTGATCTATAATTGAATTTTTCCTGTTATATAACAAAATATTTAAAATGTTATGAAAGGTTAAAAAATATTTTTTTAATAAAAAACTATATTATATTTTGTTTTAATTTTAAATTTTCAATATTCGTTGCACAAATTTAGTCTTAACAAATATTTAGAGTTATTTCTAAAATTGATTTCAAAATAAAATCTCTAATATGAGAAAGTATTATGAATGTTGGTTTTTTTAAAGCATATAAAAATTAAATAACTAGAGTTTAGAGTTACTTCTAAAGTTGATTTTAAAATATAATCTTCAATATGATGAAGTATTGATGAATGTTGTTTTTTTTAAAGCATATAAAAATTAAAATATAACTAGGTAGTCCTTCAAAAAAAATTTAAAAATATAAAAAATCTCCAAAAATCCGAACCAAAACCATACCAAACTGAACCGTTCCGATAGTCCCGAATACCAAACCGAATCGAATCGAAAAATAAAAATCTCCGAACTGTACCGTACCGACTTTTTGGTACGGTTCCAAAGATATGTTTCTCAATATGACCCAAGAAAAATCAACCGAAAAGGATATGTTTCTCAATATGACCCGTGAGCAATTTTTACAAGAAAACTCGCAAATTATCTAGTTTCGTTTTTTCTTTCTTTACCAGAATAATAGTGAAAAAGTCGAACAAACATGGGAAGCTCAGATGACAGAGCGTGAGAATACGGCATGACATTGTCCTAGGTCTTGAGTTGGGCCAGCTCCTCTATGTACTTCTCAACCAAATCAGTTTTGGGTCATTCTCTTTATACAGAAGGAAAATGAAATCTCCTCTGTTTACAGAAAGAAATCTTACCCGTTAAAAAGTTCATGAATATTTAGGTCATTCTCTTTCAGTTTTGCGCCAGTGCTATACCAGCCTACAACATGCTTCTTTACTGATATAAATTTATTAGCACGTCAAATTATATCCACAGACCAGAAAATGTTTTGTAAGAAACTATTGTTTTCTTAGCATGAGAACAAACCATTGATTCTTCTGAACATGGAAAACATTGATTCATGATAGTTATGATTAAGAAACCAGATGTTCGGGTCCCTGCCATCTTCCTCAAAAGAAACTGCTCTCACTGGAGTTTACCATTAGAAAACTGAAACATGTACAGAAATGAATGATTACTGAGAACAAAAAAATGAACCAGAAAATCCCCAAAGAGTTCAAGTCTAGCTACGGAATGTTTTAACCATTACTTCTACAAAACTCGCACATCATATTATTGATCAAAGTAAACGGACATCAGCAAGATACATGAAATAATAGAGTTATTCAAACCTCAACAGGACAAAGATATCTATTAGTATCTGAAGGTCGACTCAATCGGCAAATTTATCATCAAGAAAGCAATCATTCCGGAAAATTTTGAACTAATGGTTGTGAAAAGTAGACTAAATGTTTGAAGAAAAAAAATAGACATCACTAAAACTATAATGTGATAAAAAGAGAGCTTATTGAAATACTCAATAATAAGAGCTAAATTATAAGTTATCAAAGGCTATGAAGAAAAAGTAGGCATAAATGGACTCATTAAATTGACTCTCCCAAAATAAATGAATAAGAAAAGCATGAAGCACAACACAGGAGGCGTCATGGGGACGAAAAAGGGATCATTTCAGATAAATATAGATTTTGTATATCCAATTGCAACCTCAAAGGTTGTAACGATATGCCCTAATGAAAATATACAGAAATTCTACGGCTTGGTGAGAAAAAAAGATGCACCATCTCACATTCAATATACAAATCCACAATATTACCCCAACATAGATTAAGCTCTAATTATTCACCATGTACTCATTAATCCACAACAAAACTTACCTCAATGAACCCTAAATCTCTTAGCTTGAACATCAAAATACACAAAATTATCTCCCTCCACGAAAACAATACTTATCATAAAGATAAAACTTTGATGCACCAAAGTTCATTATCAATCGGAAAAGAAACTAAAGCTCAGAACTTTAATGACCACTTACCAGCAAAACCTACCTCCAAACAATATTTAAAATTCAAATCAACCAACACTCAAACAGTACCAAATTCACAAAAGTTCTCAGAAAAAAGTGATGGGATCGAGAAGACAGACCGGGTAGCTGTTGGTGATGTCGAACGTGCCCTTGAATGAGGTCCCGAGAAGAACTCCGACCACGCGCCACCCGATTGTAGTGGTCGACGACGCTCAGTAGCACCAGCGGGTGAACAGATGACCTTCTCGATCGGCCGTGAGGTTATCTGCTGCGACAAAAACTTCTAATCGAAGTGATAATTCTGCCTGCCCTGGGAAGGGTATGAGATGAGAATAATTTGATTGTGGTGAAAAAAACAAGGGGGAAATTGCAGAGAGCGGAGGCTGAAATTTTTTTGAACGTAATTACAATTAAAAATGGGACACAATTGTATAAGTGTCATAACTTAATTACACTTTGAGATAAATGTTGTTATATTAGTAAATATTGTGACATTTTCTAAAAATATATTACTATTTTAATACAATATTTAAAATATGTCGCCATATAACTAAACATGACGATACTTTTGTATAAAATGTCATAATTTAATTACACTTTTAAATAAATGTCTCAATACTGGTTAACACGGTGACACTCTTTAAAAAGCGACATGATTTGATTACATTTTTTTAAAAAGTGTTGTTATAATTTTCTTTTTGTAACGTTTTTTAAAAAGCGTCACAAACACATCTAGTTTAATTACACTTATTAAAAAAAGTCACCATATTTATGTTGTTAAAACCCATGTTTGTTGTAGTGATTGAATTTAGTGATCTCTGAAGTTTAGTACTGTTTTGGATATTTTCCAATCTCCGAAACGTACCGACTCATGCTCACCCTTACGCCTTGGTGGTCAGTGGTCCCGGCCGTCCATTGGTTTTTGCCTGACCGGGTCGGGCCGCTCAGCCGTGTGGTAAGGTGCCTCCTTGGGTCTTTGTTTCGAGGCCTCCAGCGTTATCTTGGCGCCTTCCCCATCTTCCCGGGTGCTGAGCTGCTTCGGATCCAGATCTGGTCTGAAAATTCATCTAGACGGTTTGAGTTTCCATAGTTTTCGAGTTTGGAGTCAAGATCTGTTATTCATTTGGGGTTTGGTACAATGGGCGCGTCTCGATTGTGTGGTCGTATTGGTTGTTGTTCAGCTACGGGAGGTTTTACTCTAGATGTATATATTAGCTGTGTGTTTTTTATCTTTTAGTTTTTTTTTAGTTCGTAGAAGTCCAGTTGTGTCTGGCTTTTTGTTTTCTTTATAGAGTTTCAATCTCCTATATAGAGGTGAGTTTTTTGTGTGTGCGATTGACTCTTGATGAAAGTTGTACCTCTCGAACACATGTGTGCTTTCGAGAAAGTAGATCTAGTTTTTTTAGTTCTTGTGTGTCAGTTGACACTTCTACCTACTCGTTTCTTATTTATTAATATAATTATCGTTTAAAAAAAAAAAAAAGGTTCACGTTAGGTTATAATTGTAAGAGCAAATGGTCATTTCTTGTATTTGGGGGACAAATTGTCAAATATGGCAAACGTAGTATTTGGTTAGGAAAAACTAATTCTCGAAACAAATAATAAGGGATCTAGCATAAAATTCGATTCCATCATAGAGAGTACGGTAATCCAGGATCGAATTACTGTGATTCGTTGTCGGCATCAATTTCACTTGAAACAATCCAGGATCTTGTTTTCTCACCTTCATATGTAATAAATTGGACTTTTTTCATTTAGTTGGTGAACGATTAGGGACCGTGCACAAGAGTTGCTCTCTGAAATCCGGAGTTCGCAAGCTGATGGGCGCCATACGAGCTTTATAAATCACTGGTTTTTGGTGAAAACAAGTAAAGTTCAGTTTTTTAGTTTTAATCATTTTTTTGGTCTGTGTGTGTAATGTTGTGCGATAAGTAGAAAGCTGTTTACTTGATTTGCTGAGTAAAGTTCTGTTTTTTAATTTTATTTCCTTTTTGGGTCTGTGTGTGTAATGTAATGGTGTGAGATAAGCAGAAAGCCGTTCATTTGATTTGCTGAATAAAGTTCTGCTTTTTAACTTTTATTCTTTTTTTAGCTGAGTTTCCTATTTGTACCAGTATGTAATAGATCTAATGTTGCATGGAGGTTCCGGCTATTCTATAGACGCGTTCACTGATAAATGTCATCTGAATTGAATTTCTGGAAACTTCTTCTATGACCCAATTGTGTACAGTGATCCATTGCATGTTTTCGAGCAATGTAATTGTTCTATATTTCGTCAATTTGGAAGAACACACAAAGTCTCTGTTAAATTGCTTGCTATCAGTTTGCCATGTTAGTTTCAGTACGAGTGCTGGACAAGAGTGTTTTCATGGCTTCTAAAAGCTCAACTCAGGGTGATTTGTATGGAAGGGTTTGGATTTATTCTTGTGAAATTTGAGATCCTTAACTTTAAAATTCACTGATTTTTGATGAAGACGAGTAACGAATTTGTTTTTAATTTTAATTATTTTCTGGGTCTGTGTTTGTGAATTGTAATGTTGTGATTTGATGCTGCTGAGATTAGTAGAAAGCTGTTTTACTTGATTTTCTGGGTTGATATGTTTGGGTGCGTTTCATGTTTGTATGAGTGTGTAATGGATCTAATTATGTAAAGTTGGAAAAATATAGTTCATTGCATGGAGATTTTTGGTTATTTTATATAAGTGTGCACAGTGAATGTCATCTGAATTGAGTTTTTGGAAGCTTCTTCTACTGACCCAATTGTATGTGTTAATCCATTTCATGTTTTAGAGCAATGCAATGTAATCCATTTCATTTTTTTTCTTTTTTTGCTTTCAATTGTCTAGCTAATTTCAGTTTGAGTGCTGGGCATGAGTCTAGTGTTTTCATGGCTTCCAACTGCCCAACTCTGGGTGATCTTAGGTTGAATTTGTATGGAAGTGTTTGGATTTATTCCTATGAATTTGAGATCCTTAGCTTCGTATTAGTCAATCCAAATTGTTACCTTTTTTATTATGGCTTCTAAGTTCTAATTGCTTCAACCATTCATGTAGCTTCAAACTAATCAACCGGTGATATGATTAATAATTTTTTTCTAATTACTGCCCTAGTTTATCCCCATTTTCTTTGTCTGATTTAAGTTGTTTTTGTTTTGTTTTGTTTTGTTATGTTTTTCTAACTTGTTTCTAATTTGTTTTTTGTTTTTTTTTTCTCCATTTTCCCCCTTTTCTGCAGCTGATTGCTAAGTGATTATTCGGTCTTTGCCCCTCTGGTTGTGATTTATCCTTGATGAGATTTTAGAATACAGTTCTTCATGAGAAGTGATGAGGACAAAACGGTCTTTAACTCATGCTAAGAAGAAAGCTGAAGAAGACCTTGCAGTACCACCTGGATTTGTTTCTCTCACATCTTTTACATTGAAAAGGAAGTTTATTGGTCGGAAGGCTGACGACGTTATGGCTGTAGATAAAAAATCAAGAGCAGGTTCAGTAGATACTCCTCTTAGAAATGTCGAAATCGAAAAATTTAAAGCCTCATTCAAGCAGAGACCATGGATTTGTTATGACCAGTTTGAAAATGTTCAAGAAACTGAAAGGAATGATGTAAGTATGATTATTCTTCATCTCACATTTTTATTATATATTATTATTATTATTTTGACATTTTCTTTCCTTTTTAAATGAATGGATGAAAATGAATCAGGCGAGTTCTCTTCCGCATAAAGATTCAGTTAGTGTCTGTCTTCCAGAAGGGACTATTTGGGGATGTGCAAATTGTCATGACTGCGTGAAGGTTAATTAAATATTTCGCTTAGTTATATTTGTGTTGATGGCTAAATAATTAATTATCACTAATTGCAGTAAATTTTCCTGTGTATAAAATTGTCTGAACGGATTATCTCATAGGTCACTGCTCGGTGCCAACCCAACGAGTCATCTTTGCCTTCACTCAGTGATGCTCCGATTTTCTACCCAACTCAAGAGGTATTTTTTTTTGCTCATATCTGTTTTTTCTCTTTAAAATGTTTTACTGTACATTTCATTCTCTGTTCAAGTGTAAATTGCTCGAATCTTATGGTAGGAATTCAAGGATACTCTCAAATACATAGCCAAGATTCGCCCAACAGCAGAAAATTACGGGATATGCCGAATTGTTCCTCCTCCTTCTTCCCTTCTCGAAGAAAATAAAACGTGGGGTGGTTCGAAGTTCGCCACTCGTTTTCAGAATATCGATGGCCTCCAAAATCTGTATGCGAAGAAAAAACTATCCGAATTTGAACATGGGCCTGATTTCACCCTGAAAAGCTTTAAAAAATGTGCCGATGATTTCAAGGCTCAGTACTTCCGTAAATATGGCAAGGGCCCGCTGGTTGCTGCAAGAATCGAGGGCGAATATTGGCGAATAATCGAGAAGCCAAATGTAGAAGTAAAGGTAGAAGAAGTGCAAACATTAGGTTAAATTAAATTAAATTAATTATAATTAAGTATCTTTTCATCAGTTTTTCCCACAGTGCATGAATTTTTATTTTATTTTATTTTTTTTCTAGGTGCTCTGTGCTGAGTTTTCGAGCTCAACCAATTCAACTAAAGAAGTGGCTAAATGTGATGAATATGTAGAGTCCGGGTGGAACTTGAAAAATATCCCGAAGCTCCCAGGTTCTCTTCTTCCATTTGGATGCTACAAAACTTCTGAAGGTTTAGTTCCTCAATTATTCATTGGGATGTGCTTTGCATCACAATGTTGGGTAAGGTTTTAGAATGTATTGGAACTTCCGATTATTTATTTATTTATTTTTTTCTAACGTTTTTTGTAGGTATATCTAATGGATATAGTTCTGTTTGATTTGACGGTAAAACAGAGAACTGAAGATCACCACTTGTATTCGATATCGTATTTGCTCTCGGGTGAACCTAAAGTATGTTACGGCATCCCGTTCGAATACTCCTTCAGGTTTGTTGAAGTTGTGAAAAAGCTACACCCAGAGCTCGCAAAACATCCCGATTTTCCCCACAAGCTCGTGAGTAATGTATTTTCATTAAATAATCACAAAAGACTTATAGGTGCTGAGGCAAATATATTTTAGGAGCAATTTTTATATTTTTACATGAAAAATGAGTTCGAACGAAAAGTTACTGCTTTTTATATGAAGTTTGCATGTAAATTATTTTGTCAGGTCCCTCAACTTCCACTATCAGTGCTAGTGTCCCAAGGAATACCTGTGTACCGATGTGTGCAAAATCCCATGGAGTTTATTGTTACTTTCCCTGGAGCTTACCACACAGAATTTAGTTGCGGCTTTAATTTTGCTGAGACGGTTCGTTTTGCTCCTTTTGACTGGTTACCATATGGTCAAAAAATTGTCGAACTTTATGTCGAAAAATGTTTCAAGACTTCAATCTCTCAAGACAAGTTGTTGATAGGAGCAGCGAAAGAAGCTGTGAAAGCCCAGTGGGAATCTTTTGCACTGAAGACCAAAACCGTACAAAATCAAATGTGGATTAGTGCCTGTGGGAAGAACGGGATCTTTACAAATGCCGTTAAGGTATGTGACTTTGCTTACTTGGGGTATAACAAAATTCGTTCAAATCAGGCAAAAATGCATTTTTAGTCCTGTTGGTTTAAGGTCTAAGCAATTTAAGTCCCAAGATTTCAACTTTTCGCCTTTTGGTCATGTGATTTAATATTTTGAAGGACTAAAATTGCAAAAAAGATTAAAATTACTGGACTGAAATTGCAACAAAATTTTAAATTACAGGACTCAAGTTGCTAATCGAAAATCTGGGAATTTGGGAATTTGTTGCAATTTGAGGACTGAAATTGCAGCAAAATATTAAATCACATGATCAAAAAGCAAAATGTTGGAACCTTGGGAATAAAATTGCTATGGCGTTAAACCAGCATGACTAAAATTGCAATTTTGCCTTCAAATTATATGCATTATTATCATTATTTCTCTAATTATTTCCCTTTTTTTCTTTTTTTNGGTCAGGAGCGTGTTAGAGACGAACGTGTAAGGAGGAAATACCTATGCAATATGGCCCAATCGAGTGCATGGGATGGACTCGAGGCCGCCTCTAAACTCGATTGTACCATATGCTCATACGACTTGTACCTCTCGGCCGTAAAGTGTTCGTGTTCCCCGAACAAATATGCCTGCCTTCGCCACTCGAAGCTGCTCTGCTCTTGTCCTTGGACTTCCAAGCGTTTTTTCTTCAGGTACGAAATTACCGAATTGGACCTCCTTGTCGAGGCCTTAGAAGGAAACTTGAAAGCAATCCATAGCTGGGCCAAACAAAAGGCCCAGCCCGATTCTGGGATTAAAATTTCAGAAAACGCCTGACCTAATTTCGAAAAACAAAATGAGGTAATTTTAAAATCGCAAGCTCAAAATGCGTTCGTTCTCCTTAGTGATGACGAGGATGGACCATCTTGATCGATGCTGCTTAACCGTGATGTTGTGCAAATATGGATCGTTGAGTTTTAGCTTTGTAACCATTTTTTTTTTTTTTTTTTTAATCTGTGATTTATAGGAGATTTGTTTGAGAGTTGGAAAAACATGTTTCCTTGTGAGATGAACTGCAGATGCTCATGTGGGATTTTGTTTTAACTTTTAATTGAAATAAATAAATAAAAAGTCACTGGATTTTAACTGCTTTGTATGTATGAATCAAGATTAGGGCTCAAACCAGACGAGCTAAGTCAAACATTAGCCTTATCGAGTTTGACTCAAACTTTTTCAACATTAATCTTATCGATTTAGAAGCAATTATTATTCAATGTTGTTTGAGCTCGAGCTAGACTTGATTAGATAAACATATACAAAGGCTCGAGATCTATTCGAAGTTTGCTCGAGCTTGACTCGAATTTTAAATAAAGAAAAATGATTCNTTTTTTTTTTTTTATTTTTTTTTTGGGCTTGATTTAGCTCGAGTTATTGTATTTAACTAAGGTATGTTTTTACTCGGGGTCTCATCAACCACTTAAATTGTTAACATAAACGTGTGGTTTGCAGCGTTTTGGGGCAAAACATTATATCAAACTCCTTTGACCAGATAAAACAGCTAATAGAAAAGTTTGGTAAAATATCTTTTTGGCTTGATAGATAGGGGACAAAAGCACAATTTCTTTACCAAATAAAACAGCTAATAGAAAAGTTTGGTAAAATAACTTTTTTGCTTGATGGATAGGGGGAAAAAGCTAAAGTTGTAAGCGCTGGATATTGGAGCCCGACATGGCAAACCCGGTTTTTGGTCCAGTTCCAGGCCAAGGGTTGGCCGGGCTTGTACCGCCGGTTCTGGGCCTGTCCGATTCACCAAACAATAAATAATAAAATAATAAAAAAATTAAAAAAAATGAAAAACTACATATTTGTGGCCTGGAATCGGCCTGCTCAAACCACGGATTCGGTTAAAGGCCCGTTGACCATGGGTCCGTTGAATTTTTGAATAACTGTTAATTTTAAAAAAGTTGATTGGATTTTTAACATGGGCCCGTTGACCATGGGCCCTTGCTCAATTATCTATCTCTTTAATGATTAATTGTAACATGAAAAAGTTAAGGCCTTTTTAAAGAAAATGGTTCTCAATTGACAAAATTGAGCACCACAAATTTTTATATGTGAAATTATATTGTTTTACATTTTGTTTAAATTTGTAAAATAAATGTAAAAACTGCAATATGAAGAAGTTAAAGGCCTTGTTTAGCTTGTAAGTGATAGCGAATAGTTGATTGTACTAGCATATAGCTGATAATGGATTGTAATAGCTAACTTAATTAGCGGATTATATTAGTTGTTGCTAATAACTGATGATCATATAATTATTTTGAAAATTGTTCGTTGACATGGTACTTGTTTGAGAGCAATTTTGGAAAAGCCATTTCTTAAATGAACTTCTCCAAAAAATAAATCTTCTTCAAAAGTCTTCATCCTTTACTTCTATAGAATGGACTTTTTGAAAAAAAAAAACAACTTATTCATAAACTAGTGTATATCCCGTGCGATGCACGGAAGAGTTCATATTTTAAACATTTTTTAGACTTTATTTTAAATATAATTATTTATATTTTTCACATCTCGTCTATTATGAAAATAAAATAAATACAATCAATGAAAAATATATAATATTAAATACTTTTCTTTATACAATATTTTTTATTTAAGGAATATTATTAAACCTTAAGGTTTTGATTTGTTTTTTTAAATCAATAATCCAAAATATATGATTGTTAACGTACAAAAAATAATGAAAATAATCCAGACTGTAAAGTAAAGCTATTTTTTTATTATTTTACAAATAAAAATCTTCCAATTTTTTTTTTTTAATTTCAAAAAAAAATTGGCAAGTTTGATAATGAGTTAAATCAAGTTATACAAATGATTAAATTGTTAAAATATTATATTAATTATATTTTAAGAAATCCGATTATATAAAAATGGGTAAAAAAATATTATACTAATTAGTTTGTTAGGATTATGATTATATGGAAGTTAAAATAAAATGAAATGTAACCAAAAAATTTGTTCGTGGTTTTTTCCTAAATGTTTGAACTTAAAAATCTAGTAACCAAATTTACATTATATCACGTAAGGAAAAAAAAATAAATAATAAATATTTATTAAAGAGATAAATCAATAATATTTATCACTTAGATAATAAATAATAAATATTTACATGTAAAAAATAAATAATAATATATTTAAAAATATAAGTCAGAATTTCAAATAAAGTAAAAGGAGGGATAACTCATTTTTAAAAAAAAAATTCTAAATATTTAATATATTGATAAGTATCTCCATAAGAATAATCATACCATTTTAATTTTAAAAAAATTGGCAAGTTTGTTAGAGAGATAAATCCGATTAGACAAATGATTAATTTGTTAAGATATTATATTAATTGTATCATAAAAAATCGGTTAGATAATGTAGATAACAAAATATAATACTAATTAGTTTGTTAGAAATGTGATAATGAAAATCAAGAAAAAATGAAATTTACCCAAAAAAAATGTTTGGAATTCTATGTCAAGAAGGTGGAACTAGGAATAAGAACAGGGACCCACGTCGAGCCATCCTGACGGACGCCTTTTCTTTTAAATGTTTGAATTTACAAATTTAATACCGAAATTCTATTATATCACATAAGGAAAAAATAAATAATAAACGTTTATTAATATATTAAAATATGTAATTTTGAATTTCATATAAAGTAAAAGGTATGCTTATTCAAATTTATTTTTAAAATAAAAGTTATGATAAACATTTATTGATTCTCTTTCAAATATACTAGTGTGTACCCCGTGCGATGCACGGGAACAATATTAAATTAACAATATTATAAATAGACTTCGAGTTTGAGTCACTCAATGGCGGAAGTGAAAACTACTATTGATCCTATTTAAAAAAAGAAAAAAAAATAATTATATATGAAAGAGGAGGATAAACAATACTTAATAATTATAAATTAAAAATTCGGGGTCAAACAATGTAAAATTATTTTGTATAAGAGAATATAAAAAAATTTGATTACACACCATTTCAAAATTATTATTATACTTTTTAATATGGTTAGCTTATAATATTTGTAAAAATATTAGTAATTAGACTGATGAAAATTAGCTTCTTAAAGTAGATAATGGATTTCTAATAGTAATTATGAATTGGTTTCTATTTTATTTTATTTTTTCTTTTTAAAGATAATGAATTTCTAGTAGTAATTATGAATTGGTTTATATTTTATTTTATTTTTTCAAATCTGTATAGATAAGGATGAAATTTTTTAAACACACGTATGCAATGAGAATTTGTAACAGAAGAGATAAACTCTTGTAGATTTATACTAAAAATAGGAAAAAGAAAAATAAATATTTATTGTCAAACAACGGTTTTGATAAACTAAAAACCAGGAAAAAGAGAAACAAATCTTTACACAATTAATGAGCCGATTTTTTTGCCTATTCAGATTTGTCCAACAATTACTATATGTAGGATATATTTAATGATTTTGGCGGGAAAAAGTTTCTAAATTTATAAAAAAGGTTATTCTTTTTATATAATGATAGATTAATAAAATAAAAATATAAATCTAAACAAATTTTGAAACAACCAAAAAAATCGGATTGATTGACATAAAAAAAGAAAGTGAAATTGGATTTGAATGCTAAAATCGGAACACCTTACCAAATTGAATGTTAAAAGATTCGATTTGATTGGTTACCCAATTGCATGGGCTGAAAAAATTCAAAAAAAAATTTACGAATTGAAGAAACGGGAAAAACACTATATTGAAGCGGAAAAACAAAATGATTATTTTCGGATTGTTCAAATAATTTTTCTTCTCCGTATTATATAGTAATAGATTCAAATTTAACACCAAACAAAAATATCTATTCAAATGGACTTATACATTCAAATGTCTATTTGAGAAGTGTTTTCAAACGAGTTTTTGTTATTGTACTAATTCTCTTTTCATAATGCTCATATATTAAATTTATTATTATTATTTTTTTTTTAAAAATAAGCATTTTGAACTCACAATGTTAACAAAATCTACCAATTCTAAATGTTGACCGATGATTACCGAATAAGTCTAGAGTTTATTGGTCATAACTAAACATAGGGTGAAAATGAGCAAATGGGTGCCGACATGAAAGGCAGTGCTGCACGTGGGTTTTAGCGGTCAGGAGCATCGGGTCCAGCCGTCCAGGCCGGGTCATAGATCGCCGGACCCACCCGCCAAAACACGTCAAATTGGGTTGACCGTAGAATGCGGGATTCTCGTACGGATCCCTTCTTTTTTGGTAAAAGAAATGCAAGAGGCCCCTCATGCAATACCATTGATAATGATAATATGACTCAAATTATGAGATTTCCCCT